AGAGTTGAGTTTTATCCTCAATGTTGCCATGTTTCAGTATTTGGAATAATTTGGAATAATTTCAGAGCTATTAATTTGTCTCCTACAGAGGCAATGGTGGCCCTCAGATCTAACTATTTTGTGTATATGTTATTCTACCCCTATCCAATCTGAATGAATGAATTTCTTTTCTTTTTCTACACATTTGTGTGGACATATTTGAGAGAAGCTCAATACAATGCAAATATATTTATGTAGGTGCAACACTCCTTCATATTTTACTGAAAACCCATCCTGAAGAATGCAAAGAGGGAGGAAGCAAGAAGAAAAAGAACAACTTCCTCATCTTATGCAGAAAGTCTCCCAAATTTGAGAGAGATTGGATCCAAGGTAAACCTTCAAGAGAATGCTATCACTGTCTTGGTTTTAAAAATATCCAAACTGGCCATTCTCAGTTATCAGTTGAATGTAAAAAGAAGTTGTATGAAGAAAATGGTGGATGTGTTGAAAAGACAGTGTGCCTTCTCTAAATCTAATTGTTTATTATACATACTTTAGGAAAATAGTTTCCAACAGTTTTTGCCCGGTAAATAACTTAAACATAATGAGTTGAGTTGCACCTTTTCTAATTACCGTATTTTTTCGGAGTATAAAATGCACCTCCCCCCCCCATCCAGGGTGAAAATCTGGGTGTATCTTATACACTGAATACAGCATTTTTGGCCTCATGAAACCCCACCCCTTCACAAAAATGAACATGCAGAGGGTTTGGGAAGCCTGCAAAGTGCTCCTGAGGGCTGGGGAGGGCAAAAATGAGTGAAAATGAGCCTTTTTTGCTTGTTTTTTCCCCTGTCTCCAGGCGCATTCTACAAGCCTCCCAAAGCCTATACATGCCCTGTTTTTCAATACATGCCCAAAAACGAGGATAGTTTTTTGCTCATTTTTGCCTCCCAGGAGCACTTTGCAGGCCTTTCACACTCTTTGCATGCCCCGTTTTTCACAAAAAAATGAGGTGTGCAATGGGTTTGGGAGGCCTGCAGAATACAAAACCTTTTTTAAAAAAATGTATCTTCAAAATTTTGGTGCGTCTTATACTCTGATCCATCTGAAAAAATATGGTATTAAAAAGCTTTTATGAGCAGTAGCTCACTCCATTAGATGCACCAAGTGGTTACATTGATATAGTATTTAAACAAAGAGAAGAAGGTCGGTTTAACACATAAACAAAATCTGTTAGTCAGAAAAGATGCCAGCAGATTCCAGATTATTTTTGTTTGTTTCCATAGGCACAGTTGTCTTTCCACAATCACTGGAAACACATAAGCCAACCCAAATTTTTTTTTGTAGCTATAGTTATTCCACATTGTTCACTGTGTTAAAGCTTTGGCTGACTTATTTCAAAAATCTTGTGAAGGGTAAAGCTAAAACAATTTTGTATTTAAAAAAACAAGAAGAGAATAGGCATTGGTCTTACCTGAGACGCCCATTCTCAGGGTAGTGGAGATAAATCCAGCCCCACCCTGATACAGGTCTGGTCCTGGGTCTGAGAGGAGTTTTTTAATCACACATGTCAGTCTACAGTATCACCTTCATCAAAAGCTGGGAGGAGCTACCAGAGGAGGTGTGACATCACAGATTGTAGACCCAGTTGGATATTAGATACAGTTAACCCATTCTCCATAGTTGGTGGAGATAGCATCTAGGAAAGGACTGTCCTTACGGGAGGTTTTTATTATATATGATTTTATTGTTAGTACAATTCATGGTTGTCCCAAAAGCACTTTTCCCAGAGGTAACTGGACTTTCTGGTTTTTTTTCTTTGGGGATGTTTTGCTTCTCATCCAAGAAGCTTAAAGAGTTGAAGAAATTTCTTGGATGAGAAGCAAAACATCTTCAACAACAAAAGAAATTAGAAAGTCCAGTTGCCTCTGGAAAAAAACTCCTTTGGGATATTCATTCAGCAACTGTTCAAAATTACAAACAGTGCTGAACAAATGGTACTTGCTACAAGTCCTCATAGTGATCGTGATCCCAGCACTCAGTATCTGACTCAGTTATAATGTCTTCAATTACTGAGTATTGATATTTTACAAAGTTCTCCAGTTCCTTTTGAGCTTTTTTAGTGTTATTTCATATTAACATGTCTATATTTTTAATTCATTTTCTGCCCATCTGAATTTGGAAAGCCTATAAGCATTTTATGTGATCATTCTGGAACACTTTTCCAACACTCTATAAACAAACCAATAAATCTATACTTTTTGCATAAACTGCAATGCATCATAAAAAAAAAGAAAAAAGCTGGGAGGAGCTACCAGAGGAGGTGTGACATCACAGATTGTAGACCCAGTTGGATATTAGATACAGTTAACCCATTCTCCATAGTTGGTGGAGATAGCATCTAGGAAAGGACTGTCCTTACGGGAGGTTAGTAGTCTGGGCTGAGGTCCCCTGAGCAGCATGAACCTGTTGCAATACCTGCCTGCCAAAGGCTGCCTCCGCTGAGGAATATCTATCTAATTTGTAATGGTGGATAAACGGGGACGGAGAGGTCCAGGTGGCCGCTCGACAGACCTCTTTTTTTAGCAAAGTTTTTTTTTGTTAAATACTTAAAACCTCTTTATAAATGAAGTATTGTCCAGGTTTCCCCCTCTTTACATCTTCTCATTATACATAGTAAATTTTACATCTTTTTTCCATTTTCCATTTCAGTCATCTTATCTTCATTCCATAATCTCCGGTTTAATTTTAATTTCTTCCTAATATATTGACAATATCATTATTTGCCTCCCCAAATTAATCACATTTAACATATCATTTCCAACCATTGTTCTATTTTACTGTTAATAACATATATCCTCAAAATTAATTTTGTATATTAAACATTTCATTTGATTAGTTATCCAAATAGTAATTTTAATCTATTTCTCCCACATTGTATTAAACATAAACCTTAATTTCACTAAATTTCATTCTAGTCTATTAACAAATCCTTCCCTTTCTTTCTTCCTTTGAACCATTTTCTTAGTCTCTCGGGAATTTCATTTCTTCTTTCCCCCCTGTTCCTCCAGAACAGGTTTGGACCCTAGTGTCAGCGTTCCAAATATCATCCAAAATTAAATCAGAGTTCAAGGCAGAGCTTTCCTCAAACTTCCAATTTATTAAGAGAGACATGTTGGTACATCTGTGGAAAACCCGAATCTGAAAGCTTCCTGGGTTTCCCACCCAGTTGAAAGTTCATGATCTTGCCCCCACATCCACAAGTCCATCACATGGTCCAATCTTCCACTGCCACACTGGCAGTTCCACCCACCCAGTTCCGGTCAGCCTCAGAGGTGTAGAGACAAAAGACGAGGGAACACGTCCAGTCCAAGGATAGACGGAGTCTAAAAGCTAGGAGAAGCTACCAGAGGAGGTCTGACATCACAGATTGTAGACTTAGTCTGATTGGATACTAGATGGAGTTAACCCATTCCTGGATGTTATCTCCACCAACTATGGAGAAAGCATTAAACAGGTTCTTTCCCCCTTAGTTTTACCACTGAGCAATCCTCCAGTTATATTTATAACTTATACTGTCATCTTTTTTTATTAAAGGAAGCATGTGAACACTCAGAATTCCAATTTTTAAATGCCTCTCATTCAGTAAAAATCTAGTTGGTCCCAAGCCTCAATGTAGTGATTACATGTAATCCTTTCCTTTTCCTTTTTCCTATGAGGAAATAATAGATCAAAGACTTCCTAGGAAATGGGACAGATCTTAAGAGTAATCTGGATATGACACTCCTTTCTTTGGTACTACTTGTGTCAGAGAGGTGCATGATTTCATGATCCCATTAAGTCAAATGAGCAAAAGTACATTTAAATGGAGTTGAATTTTAAAGTGAACAAAATACAATTAACATTATTATTTAACAACAAAGGAAACTAAGTAAAGGAAACTTCAGCAAAGAAACTAAACAATTTTCACTGCAGTGATACTGCAGCTTTTCAGAAATCTCCCACTCTTAAGATGCTCAGTTTGGGATACTCAACTCTATGCCCAAGTCTGGATTTGTGGGTAATCAAACAAACACTGCCATTTTTCACTTCCCTTCCTCTGCAATTTCCTGACATGGGCATGAGGAAACCTTCAGCAGTCCCTCAGGAAACACAGCACTATTTTATTGTTTAAGTGAAGCCATAATTCTAATTAGTATTATACTGTGGTTGGTTTCACGTGACTAGAATTGTCCACCTGCCACTTTAGGTTCCATAGCTTAAAATAGGCAAATACTGCTTTTTAATAGCTTCTGTTAGGGAATAATGCAGGGGTGTCAAATTCATGTCATCATGCCAGCGTCACGTGTGGTATTGGGACTTTTTCCCCCTTCGCTAAATCGGGCATGGATGTGGCCAGTGTGTGATCCATCTGGCCCGCAGGCCGGGAGTTTG